AATTTTCAGTTATTTTAAGAACTGTGATTAGCTTTGCTAAATTTTAACCGTTAGGGGTCAAAACTAACAGAATACAAATTTAGTGAGTAATATTCCAAAAACAAAAGCTTAGTGATGAAAATGACACAATGTTCATAATTGACGGACTAATAGTGTTAATAACTCTTTTGTTAATTTCATCTGCTTCAGCAAGAATAAAGGTGGGCTCATTAATTCGAGTTGAGATTTGACTTTATATGAAAGCTTTTTACTGTAACAAAAAAGTTAGATGTGACTATTTCTAAAGCTTTTTACTGTAGTAAAACTCGAATCAGTGAAATGAACGGGGCCACAAAAATAACAACTCCGTTAACACAGTTACACGGTTAGGGTTTAAAACTGTTATTTTATTTTATTTTTTATTTTTAGTTTTTTCACAAATGATAACATTTTGTGTTTTCATGATAAGTCATCGCCATTTTATATGATACTTTTTGGACGATAGAGTGAAAAATATAAGGGATTCTACTTTTTTTTTTTTTTTTTTTTTTTATGCAGCCTTAATCTGATTTGGTGAAGCAAATAGATTGAGAAATATCAGTTATGGTGGCAGATAATTAGAAAAAAAATATCAATTACCTTTTTTATTAATATTTTCACGATATTTGAAAAAAAAAAGTGACTCAAATGATAATTACCAAATTTAATAAGATTTAATAAGGTTCAAAAACTTTAGAATTGTTAATTTTATAATTAAATTATATTATATTATTGCGCACAACCAAACTCTATAAAGTCATATTACTGAGAATCTATTAAAAGATTTTTATACGTAACCAAACATAATAATATAAGTTTCTTGTAAATCATATTATCTTTTATCACTTTTTTAGTAATATGATTCCTATTAATTATTACATATTAAACGCCCCCATAGTATTTATGCCAGTACATTGTTTAAATCCTTCATCATTCTTCTCACTGAAAGTGATGAAAATTAACAAATCCTCTTGTCGCAAACAGTATGAAGTAAAGAGAATTTTGTGGTCAAAATTGTTAAGCGCTGGAATGACATCGTAATAAGAAAATTATAATAGTTTATTGATGATTAGAGTATAAACAAGATTCTGCACCAATTAAACTCTGAAATGTCACATTTTCATATAAACTAATAACGGGCAACAGAGAGGTAGTTGTCGAATAATGGGTGTCAGATGTAAACTAAAAAACAAACTAGAAAAAAATATAACGATAATTCCAAGCAAAAGCTTCTGCTATTGTTGGGAATTCAAATAATTGCTTCAAAATAATATGTCAGTGTCCTAAGTTTAGTATGTGGATAGGAAAATTACTTTCTTCCTGCAATGACATTTCTAGTGCCAAACTCCACAAAAAGACCAAACAAAACGAACAACTCATTTCTTTAATGAACTTTAAGCTTTATTCATTTTATCTATTTGAGTTTTCAATTTTAAGTTTTTACAGTTAAAAATTCTTAAAAAATGTCACATCTAATTTTTTTTTACCACAGTTAAAAACTATCAGAAAATATCACATCTCAGTTCAAATTAAAAATTTAAATCTGTAAATAAACGAGACTTTAGTAATTCAAAATTTTTCTTTAATTAAGGAATTACTTATTTTTTATTTGAAGAGAATTCAAAATTGTTCGAATTATATAATCGTTAATTAATGACATTGATAAACTACCTGGAACAATTTAATTAGTGACGATCATAAGTAGCGGGGGTATTAAGCACGACATCATTGCTTAGCTAGAAGTTATATATCAGCGACGTTATTTTCATGGATAGAAAAGTCGTCGTTAATTTTGCATAAACCATTCAACGACAAATGTCATCACTGAATATTACAGACAGAGATGGAGCCAAAACTCGTGCCTTTATTTTCTACAAAAATGTTTAGCAACGACATTTGGCATCATGACTAACTGTGAGCCGTGACTATTTACTGTATACACACCAGATTTTTCTGTGCTGGCGGCAGTGTGGCAACTAATTCGCATGTGCTATAATTAGTGCTAATTGTAGCATATGTTAAGTTTGACATTTAATTTTTATTAGCATGTGTTAAATTGATGAAAATCTGCACTAGATCCCTTTACTATTTGCTTGATTCTTATGGCTCGTTTAGTTTGTTGATTCAAATTTTTAATTATAATTGAGATGTGATTTTATATGAGAATTTTTTACTGTAATAAAAAAGTTAAATATGACTATTTATAAGAATTTTTTACTGTAATAAAACTTAAATCAGTGAAATAAACGAAATTTTAAACTTCATCAAAAACTTCAAAAATCGAGGAAATGATGATTTATGTAAAGAAATTTCTCCGAAAGCTCAAGTTAAAATTTATCGAAATAAAATCTCAAAAAGCAAACTAATTTAGGTTTCTATATTGAAATCAAGAGAAGCGTATTTTTTTTTTCGCACTCACTTCTGTTTATAGGCTTAGACGTGTGAAGAAATATGAATTTAATATAATCTTGATTGTTGATTCTTAACGGATTGGTTAGGATCTTGTGCGTCCTAACCTTGTAAATCATATAATTCTTCTACATTTAAGTCTTGAACGTATTCGGACTATTTTATACAAGTTTCAACTCAAATTATATTTAAATACAATTTAACTCAAATTAAAATTTAAATTTAAGACGATCATAATTCAAAAAATATAAATGAACAAACTCTTAATTTTTACTGCCGCGTCTTCCTTACTTCACTCAATTCAGTGCAATTATCAAAACATCATTGTTTCCTTATTAACTCTTTAAAAAAAACGCGGTTGTCAAATAAAAGAATTACGTTCCTTTCATTTTGTTGTTTTGGATGAAACAAATTATCCGAGAAACAACTAGAGATTTATTGTTATTTTAAGTGACACAATTAACTACGAACAAGATTAATATATTAAAAGAAAAAAAAATAGTCCCGTTCTTTTCGCTGATTCGAGTTTAAAATTCGAGTTTTTCTACAGTAAAAAGCTCTCAGAAATAGTCACATCTAATTTTTTTACTACAGTAAAAAGCTCTTACACAACATCATATCTCAACTCGAATTAAAAACTCAAATTAGCGAACTAAACGGGTATCTCTCTCTCGTTTCTCAATGGACCATGCGATGATGAATGACCCTTCTCACAGCAGCGATTAGATGATATATCACATTCATGTTTTTGCTCCAAAAGTTTCTACAGTTGGGAGCTATTATTTTTTACTGCTGAGAAAATTATTATACCTTTCAGAGAAACATTACGAGTTATAATATTATGCCTATCTGGAGTACTGATTTTCATCGTCTTGTTATTTTTAGCACATCAAATCGTTGAACAAAACTAGCAATTTATGCTGCACTAAGAAGAAAGCAGCTCCTGAGACCACCATGTTTGGAGGAAAATAAAAGCAACTTCTGAGACAAAAAATTTGCCGAATTGTTTGGTTCATCTCACAAGTAACAAGTAAACATTTGTCTTTGTGAGCTGTTTGCCTATGTATCTACTTGAATTGTCATTCAACAGCTAGCTAAAAATTATTATTGAGAATATCAGTGAAAAAAAAAATGATTATTACAATTTTTGGAAAAAGGAATATGTTTGTACTGGTGGGTATGGACCGAATATGGTGATTCTTTGTGGAGTCGCATCTAAAAGATTGCGAGTGAAAAGATATGTGGGCACATAGTTATAACTCGGAAAATTGGTAAATTTTGTTTTTAACAGTTAAATTTAATTAAAATTATTTTAAATTAAAAAATAGGTAAAACATACAATTTTTAATTAAAATTATATAGTGATTATAAAACTGTCTATTTTAAAATTTTCTCTGAGGAAAAAATAATTTTCTTTTTTTTTTTTCTACAAAAAAAGGGGAAATTTGTGTATACTGGGACGTGTGCCCATGAAAAATCCCATCAAAATAATTTCGACAGTAAATCACACAAAATTTTAACAGACCAACCAAACGTCCCTTTTAATCATATTGTTTTGGAATTGATCCTTACACGCTATCACAATTTCAACGGCCTCAACTGATTTTATTTTTTATTTTTTGATTGATAGACATTTGATTAAGAACTCAACAGTGACATTTGCTATATACATTTGCTCAAACCTCAGATAATTTTCTCCTTTAGAAAAAAAGAAGAAATTGATAAATTGAACAACCTCAGATCAATTTGATCACATCTTCAGAAATTCTCCTCATTACACAACAAATATAGAACTACTTTCTAGACATCGACATGTGGAACCATTCAGGCTTTGCAGTCGAGGCATCAGAAGCTACAGTGAGGGATCCACACTTGGAATAGGGAAAAACAGTAGTTTCTTTTCTTTTCTATATATTTTTATTTTTTTCCCCTCAACTTTTGCTTCGTTGTTGCATATATTTCTTGTCTTTTACGTTATATCAATATCAGTATATGCATATGTATAGATATAATACTGATTCCTCTCGGGAAAACAAAGCGGTAGCGTTTTTCTCTGCATGTGACCCTCAAAATTACGTCAATGCTTTGCGTATATGTATTTTGCTAAGTTAAGAAGCATGTATTAAACTGTTTGTTTTAAACCGTCATGTTTTTATATCCTTTTCATTTTAATGTGATTTCGATCGTATCAAACGTTAAAAAACACACACTACTGTCTACTGCAGAAAAAACCCGAATATATAAAACCCTTATATATACTTTCCAGGAGTATACAAGAACATGAGCCAAATGATATTCTCATTAATATGTACTAATTGGCAAATAAACTAGAAGATATCCAAGTCAAATAAAAACTAGTAAGGATAAGAGACCATAAAACGACCGTGCTCTGTGCACAAGAGTCAACTATTCTTTTGGCATTTTTACCAAAAGAATACAAGCACATTCCATACTCAGGGAGAATTACTCCTCTGCTAGAACTCGGAATCGTTAGAGACTTTCCCGGGAAACAAACAAACCAAAACCAAAAAAACAAAAAAAAAATTAATTAATTAAGTAATTAAGGAGGCTATCATGCATTTAATTATTTACACTACTACTTATATCAAAAATTGGGAATTTTTTTTTAATAATATTAATTTTAGGGGTTGAAGATGAAATCCCCACATTTGCACTTCCAACTCATGGGCTTGTAGTTGGAGTTGTCTTGGCCTCTTGCGTATTGGACGTTGGAGAGCAATGAAGATTGTTTTGTTGTTCCGGATTTGACTTGTGGATTTGTTGGCACTTGAATGGCTTCGCAATGCCCACATGAGTTGCACCTTCTCTCGCACCTTGGAGGCCTTGACCCAATTCTTGCTCTCACTATTGCCTTCTCTTCTTCATTTACCATCTATCCAAATTTCCCAAAAAAAAAAAAAAAAGTGATTAATATTAAGCTTTTCCACATAAAAAGTAGAAATATTATGTAATGTAATTTGTTTGTGTATGCCTAAATTCTCACCTCATCGGAAATGGACTTTTTATGTTCCGGAATTGGCATTGCTCTGCCTGCAAGAAAACATGTAGAGAAAAAGGTAAACTTTTAGTGTATGTTTGTTGTGTGTAGATAAGGGAAATTGTGTCTCTTTAAAGGAAAGAAGAAATGAAAAATGAAGTCTGACCCACTTACCTTCAGCCATTAAACTGAAATGGGTAGAGCTCAAAATTGAGAGAAAGAGAAGACAAGCGGTGAAATGGGAAAGTCTATGGCTGCAAATGAAACTGTGGTTAACCCCCATTTCAGCGTAGAAGGAAAGTCCGGTTTCCTTATACTGGAGAGAGTTTGCTGATTCGTGTAGAGATTGGGGAAGGTTTTTAGAGAGAGAAAGAGTAGGGAGATGAGTTTGCCAATTTAAGTGGAAAATTGAATCTGCAAATGTGCTGTAACCAAAGAAGGCATTCAGTAACGGAATGATAAGATAATATAAAGCCTCTCGCAACCCCTCTCTCTCTCTCTCTCTATATATATATATATATATCTCTCTCTCTCTCTCTTTCACTGAGATTTTTGAGGTGATGGAACGTGGAAGGACAAATAAGAAATGCAGAGTGGGAAAGAAGGTTTGGAAAGGAACTCCAAAAAGGAATAACCTCAGTCTCGTTCAATGAGCCCTCACAAAGAAACTCAAAAAAAAAAAAAAAAAAAAAAACCATTTATTTATTTTTTGTATTTTATTGTTTTTATTGAAAATGGAATTGTAGATGTGAAGAAAGGGAACAAACAGAGACGACCCAAGAACACAACAGCAAGGAGTTGGGATTAAAGACAAGAAGTACCCAAAGACACATTGGGTGACAAGTGCCGCCCACTACGAGACATGTAAATACAGCTGTGGTTTTTTGGGTTTTCGCTTTCTCTTTTTATTTATTTGTTTTTGTTCATTCAAAAGGAGTTTATATGATAAGATCAGACAAAATGGAGCTACTATCAATTTTTTATTTATAGTTATTAAATTTATATAAAAAATAATCTGTTATATATATTTTTTAATTTAATGTGATTTTTATTAAATGTAACGATAATAAATTAACCATATCAAAACAGAAATTTTACCGGGGTAAAAAAATCTTTTTATGTGAAGTCTCTTTTTGAGATTTTTTGTATTGCTTGATTTCTGAACAATCTCACTTAACCACGACATATCCAAATCTTTTATGCTCAAAAAGAGAAAAAACGTGTGTGTACTAAAAGAAAAAGAGTACACACGTTTTTTTCTCTTTTTGAGTGTAAAAAAATTGGTCTGGATATGACGTGATTAGGTGGCGTTTGGTTCATGAATTCAAATCATGTGATTATAATTATTTTCGATTTACGTGTATTTTTTATAAGAAAAAATACTGTAGCGAACCATGAACTATGATTCGAATCATAGAACGAATTTATATACCAAACAGACTCTAAATGAGACTGCTCCGAAATCAAACACATTTTCAGTTATACTTATTGAAAAAAAAAACTCTCTTATTCTTACTTGTGAGGTCTCACTCGCTTGGAATATTTGCCTCCTAGGTCATGACTATTCTTTCAGCTGTTGTTGGCTGGGCAACTCCTAATTTAGTAAGCATTATGAGTTTATCTGGAATATAGTTATCAGAGAAGCTAACATGTAGTATACACTCACTAGGAAAGGGTAATAATTTATTTTATTTGTTATGTGTACATTCTCTTGTATGTTTCAATTTTAACTGGAATTGAATCCTGCTTCACTTAACAGAGAGGTTGAAGAATTGGCAGAAGTTGAGGCAAAATTGGTTGGTTTTTCTATCTTTTCAATAGATTTAGTGGCGTTTGGTTCATGAATTCAAATCATGTTATTAGAATTATTTTTGATTTACGTGTATTTTTTATGAGAGGAAATACTGTAGCGAACTACGAACCATAATTCGAATCAGGGAACGAATCTAGGTACCAAACGGACTTGACCCTTCTTGACCTCTTCTTTCTGGTGTTAACTACTGGCTTTAGGAAAGTTTTCACCCAACTCAGCCCATACAACACAAGATGCTATATTCTACTTATAACAATTTCATTCACAAAAACACCTATCTATGCTATATTCTACTGATACCACATTTACAGAAAACCCTAAACCCAATCAGTTCGCTCTATATCATTTTCATGCATCTGATAAAAATGTAAAAAAAAAAAAAACCACACATGCTGCCGTTCGAACATGTCTCATTCTAGGTATTGATCTTTACACACAAACTTGAAAATAAAGTGAGAATGACATACCGTTTCAGAGTTTGAGTCCGACGAGGAGATGAAGGACACTGCCGGCAGAGCTCCAAACACGGATGAAGGACTTTTGTAAATTTCCCTTCTGTTTCCTCTCCGGCGAAGGCGATAAATGGCCTTACTTTGGTAGTATCGGCGAAATTGATACCGAATGTCGAGCTTCCGTCAATTGTTCACAATCACCCTTTTACTTGAAGCATTTCTCATCAACTCAGAGAAGAGGAGTCCGCTGTGGGTTTGGCTGCTTATATGGGAAGAGGAGTCCACCGGGAAGAGGAGAAAATTGCCGAAAGAAAAGATAGGAGAAAAATTAGGAAAGACTGGAGACACTCTGCAAGCCCACGCGAGAAACGCACAGAGAAAGGCTAGAGAATCTCTGGCCAAGGGAGAAATGGTCGGTAAAGTGGGTGAGGGTCATTACTCGGGAAAGTACATGGAAACATTATGCTCTGATTTGGGAATGGGCTGAATCAGGGCCCTCCCTGATTTTAGAATCAGGATCCAAAGTGATCCTAAAAGTAAGATTGACTCTTCCCTGATTTTAGAATCAGGATCCAAAGTGATCCTAAAAGTAAGTTTTGACTCTAGGTCAGATGTGTGATTTTAGGCCTCCAAACGTGGATTCTCCCACGTGATCCAAAATCCTGATCAAGAATACAGCTTCCAAACGGCACTTAAGAAATCCCAAAAGAGCCTTGGCATAAATTTTTTTTTCTTTTCCTTAAACAAATAGACTTTTCTTGGTAAGATTAATAGTACACACACTGTTATATAGATATATACACCTAATATACACATACATATATGTATATACACACATACATATATTTATTATTATATGTCTGACTTTTTTCCCCTACTAGTTTTGTTTATTGGAATGAGGATTTTTACGTGCGTACCGTACAGTGAGTTATTATCATTTGGTAAGAAAATATGGGCTTAAATGGTTGGTACGATTCCAGCTTTGCCTATGGCAATCTATAGAGATCAATAAAGTTAGTCCCTTTTGTAGAATAGAAGCATGTCGGTTTGATATAGGTCAACATGGGCTATGGCGTTTCGTCAAATCCCATCCGTTGCTCAAGACTCCAGACAATCGGTTCCTTGATTTTGAATTTTAACTGGGTTTCAGACACCAAATGTACTTGTTGACATTGTTATATAAACATATATATTTTAATAAAAACTAAAAATAGAGTCAACTCTCTTCATTTTACCGATTTAAATTTAAAATTTGAATTTTGTTATAGTAAAAAACTCTCAGAAACAGTCACATTTAACTTTTTTGTTATAGTAAACAACTTTAACATAAAATTATATCTCAACTCAAATTAAAAACTCGAATTAACGAACTAAACAGGCCCAAAATCAACTTCTAATCCTATTAGTTTTTTTTTTCCTTTGACATATTAATTAGTTAGAAACATGATGTACGTGTATCTATCAGTTTATTGAACTTTTTGACACGTCACTTCAAAATTTTAAAGTTTTCTTGTTTGAATTTATTACTCTCTTAAAAGTTTAGTTTAATAACAAGAATACATTTAAGTATAATGGATTGAAATGCACCTTTTAATCAAAATATGCTTTTGGATGAGTATTATACATGTGTAGAAAAGTAGAACATAGTTGAGTAATAAGTATTTTGACATGTTAATTAGATAAAAAAAAAATTATTTAGGAGGTACATAATATGTATGAGGAAATAGTAATTGATAGTGGCATAACGAAAAAAAGTTGTTAAAGTATGTGGGAACTCGTTTGAAGAAAAAAAAAATACTTGAACATGAGAAAATTAGAGAAAATGTGCTTATAAGAAAATAGTTATTGAAAAGGAAAAAATTCTTAATTAGGAACACATTTGAAAAAATATATATTTTAATGGATCATATAAACTTTTGTTTATGAGGCTCACTATTGATATAATAAATATTATATGAAAAAAATATTTTAGAAGGAACCAATTTGAAATAAAAAATGTTTTCTTAGCAATAAATTTGAAAAAAAAAATAATTTTATTAGATACATTTACAAGTTTTGATTTTTTATAGAAAAAATCAAAAGTCCAATAAAAAAAACAATGGAGATTAGATTTTTTGGAGATATATATATATATATATATATAAAGTTTTTACTAATAATGGGGACATATATGAAAAACTATGCTAGCAACACTTATAGTTATATTTTTAAAGCAAGGAAAAAGAGAAGTAAAAAAAGATCTCCATCCTTGCCTTGCACATCAATGAGAAACCATACAAAAGGCTTAAAAAGTCTCAAGTTGAATAACAAATTATTCTAACAGAGGATTTTCTTTTGTTTAGTCTCAAGCGAAATTCATCAATAAACTCACAATTATCTAATTTTTCTTATGGAATTCTGAATATACGAGGGAAAAATGAAAGGAACGGAGTGCAGGAAAACTATACATAGGAAATGACAACGTTCATGCAATATCAAACTAAACATATATTATTATAATGTGATTATTCATGCAGAATTTATAGGAAAATTATTTTCAGAAAAAGTATTTACACAAATAGTGAGATCTCAGAACGTAGAAAAGAACATGACAGCTTTTCTAATAAAAATATAAAAGTTTTCTAATTGTCCCTGGCAATGTTGTTTGTATCGCAACTTTTCGAAGGGTTCTCACTTATGCAATGGAAGGTTGGAAATCTCATCGTTATGATGGGGCGCGAGGGGAGGTCGATGGCAGGCGGGGCAGTAGTTAGAGGTAGAAGAAGTAATTAGCGGTTTTTACTTTCGGGTTTTAGGGTCAGCATTTATCATTTTGGGGATTGAATCCGGAGCTTTCAAAATTAGGGTTTCTAAGTTTAGGACTTATTTAAGGTTTTTAGGATTTTAATTTGGGAATTTTTCGAATTTAATATATGCATATAAATTATATATCACCTATCTAACATGTACTAGTTGAAGAACCCGTGCTATACACGTGGGGAGTAATCGTGTATTAAGTCTTAATTACCGTGTTATTATTAAAAGTATATAATAGTTCAAAAAAAACTAAAATTAAAAAAATTAAGTTTTAGGGCAAGTAGCAAAAAAAAAAAAATAAATAAATTTAAAAAGGACTAAAATAAAAGAGAAAAAAAAATCTTGGAGAGCAAAAAAAAAAAAAAAATGTAGCGACACTTACTATTCACGCATTTTCGACTAAAAAAATGAACAATGAAAACACTATTTATAAGGGTATTTTCAACCAAAACTATGTCGTTTTGG